CGTGGCGTGGCGGGGCGGGGCAGTGCTGCCGCGGCACAGCACAGCGTGCATTGTGATTGCCGCACCGCGAAGGTGTAGGCAAATAGCGACTCGCGAGGGTCCCGCGCACCGCACGGCCCCGCCCGCTCAGGTGGCCGAGTGGGCGCGACACTCGGAGGACGCGTGCTGCTGCTGCTGCTGCCGCCGACAGCGAGCGTCCAGCCCACGCGCTGCAGCACCGGCGCGTGCGGTCGGTCGGGTACGACGAAAAGGTTTTCCCAAGGGGTACTTCCCAAAAATAAAAATCAGTGTACGCCCTCCAAAAAAGAGAAAAAAACTCATCACAAAAATCTAATTTAAAAAAAATAGTAAAAAAAAATGATGAAAAAATCACAGAAATATTGGTGTTCGCTAGATTTTGGAAGTACTCCTCGCGGCACCTTTCAGCGCCCTGCAGTCAGTCGGGTTCACCTTTGCGAGGCGAGCTTATGATGGAGGCCCCGCGGCAAGGAAAAAAGTGAGAAGAAAGGCGCGTGTGGCGTGGCGAGGCGTAGCAAAGGTCAGATGCGTCAGGAACTTGGCCTAGACTGATCCGCGCGCGCCGGCGCTCGCACTATGTGGGGCAGCCTAAGCTCACCACCCACACGATGCGTCCGCGTGTTGTTTTTGTGTGTGTTAGTTAGGTTTTGCTGTTGTTTTTTTGTTGTTTTTTTTTTGTTTTGTTGTTTTGACTTGTCGCGCTTCCTGCTAAAGTAAAACGCTTTAAAAAGCTTAACTTTTTGGGGAAGGTCGGTTTGTTTGTCTCTGAATATTATTTTTTTTTTTGAATTTGCCGCCGCCGTGCCGCTGACGGGCGGCGTGTGCTGGACGACGGGGTTGTCCTCCGTGGCGTGCGCGCGGAGCGCGTGACCCTGGAGCCGTTAGTGCTGCTGCCCGCCGCCGCGCCCAACCCACGCGGACCTATTAATAATCCTTGGCCAGTCATACGCGCTCTCTGCTCTGCCTATGGCTTACATGATCGGCGCGGCCGCGCCTGTCGCAATACGCACGCTCACACACGCGCGCTCGCACAGTGTCGAAGTGCCCCGCTAGAGCCCCAGCTGGCTGCGCCCTGGCTGCGCCCGCCACGCCCGGCCCCGCCCCGCCCTGCCCCGCCTCCCTCGCCCATAGTTTGCTGCTCGCGCTCGCCTCTCCCGGACTGGATCGCACGCCTACGCAGCCCCCTCTGAGTGTGTGGTGTGGCTGCTGCTCCACTCCGCGAGGACAAGTTTCACTCTCGTCCGAGAGGCGCGCCCCGGTCGGGCCAGCAGGCCAGGCGGGCCGCTATGGGGCGTTGGCGTTGTTATTTCGGTTCCTGTTGCACCGCGGTGCATCTTGTTGTGAGGCGGGGAGCGGGCGGGGCCTGATGGGCTCGACGATGGCTGCAGGTGTGCCTGTGTGTGTGTGTGTGTGTCAAGGAGGTTCTCGTGCAGCTCCTAGGCGCTTCTCTTTCGCCACATTTCTCTCTTTCTCGCTCTGTGCCCCCCTTTCCCGCCGTGACAGGTGCCACCGGTCGGTCCGTGCGGGGGTGGAAGTGCCCCCCCGCCGCCGTTGTGTTGCATGATTTAACCTCCCCAACTTGTTGCTCTCCGCGCCGTCCTCCCTCCCCCTGCTGCTGGCGGCGGCAGCGGTGGTGGTGGTTTTGGTGTCGCGTGTCGCCGAATGCGTGTTGCTTTAATTCGTGTGCTCCTGAATGCATATCGACGTCGTCAACACACACTCACTGAATCAGATAAGAAAAATTGTGTTATTCCTTTTGTTTTATTTACAAAACTCTTCTTTTTGGGGGGAGTCGGTGATCGCGTCCACCTGGCGCGTGTACGACGAGAACCTCTCTGCCTCGCACGCGAGCCGCACGCCTTTAGCCTCCTTGTTTGTTTTTAGTTGTTGTTTTTTTCTTTTTCGGTTCCCTCTTTACCTTATTCCTCCTCTGAATCACGTTTCGAAATTGAAAGTCCCGCCAACGCGTCTCTTGCTTGACTCGGCCCGGCGGCCGGGTCCTCGTTGGTATGCGAGTGGGGGAGCTCTCCTCCTCGCATACAGCGACGCAAACGCAAAGCGAGCCGCGAGGTGGATATGTCGTCTTCTTTATGACACATTGTGACCAGGCCGGCGGGAAAAAAACGGGAAAGGAGAGGCCGGGCGGGGGGG